ACATTAGTCTCTGGCTAACTCTGTTTTAAAAGGTTTTGGGAGTAGTTCTTATAAGAATGAAACAGAAGGGTGAGAAAGAAAGTTGATGACGATCTCCATCATCTAGGCTGAAGGAAACTCTACAGATGCTTTAAAGACAACTTAGGGACTCATATTTTTGTCTTTTTTTTCCAGGAAGCACAAGGCTCAGAAGCAGGAGCTAAAGGGCATCTTTTCATAGACATTTTGAAGAACTGCCAAAATGTAAGCTGAACATGCCCATTTGGGTGGTATTTCTCTTGTTTATTTTCTGGTGAATAAATTCACACTGTCCTTTCTTTCTACTCTTTTCTTCAAAGGAGAGTGATAAAAAGATATTTCAGAGTCAGATCATCTCCTTCTACTTCAAGCTCTTCGAAATAGCTAATAAGACCAATGAGACTGTCAAAACCAGTGTGGACACCATCAAAGAACACATCATCAGTAGATTCTTGAGAAACCAAAGCAACCTGGAGATCTTCCAAAACCTGACTCAGCTTTCGGTGAGCATACTTCAATTTCTTGCTTTATGGTGGAAGCTTTAACATAAAGTTTACCTCTCAGGAAACTAGCTCCTTAGCAATTTCTTGGGCTGTGAAATCAACTAAGGACTGAAGTTTTTCCTTATTGATTCCATGCATGTTTTGGATGACTTTTCCACATCCAAATAGGAATCATTTTATCTTGGAAAAATACAGGCATTAAAACTGTTATGCAGAAGATGGGTGAATGGGTAGTCCAGTGTGGAGGATGTAGGGGCAGTAGCAGAAGCAGCAGGAAGGAGTTCTGTCTTTGTTCCTGCTGTGTGATGGAAATTGTCATGTTTTGGGAGGAAAAGCTGCATGTCTTAATGGAAAGAGCAGTGGGAGGGTGTGAGAACGTTTGTTCTCCTCTTCACTTGGCCACCAAGTTACTGTGGCATCAAACGAATCAGATGCCTGGCTGGATCTCAGTTTCCTCATCTCAAAAGGAACCTCCTAAGTAACATAGCTGTCTTGCTCTGAAAATTCACAGTGTTTTGCTTAAAATGAAAGCAGAGAAAGGAGAGGCAGCAGAGTCGTCATACTGGGTTGTCTTGTCATCTCAGATTATGTAGTCCAATTAGAAGTGCTTTTTTAAAAAAAACATTTTGTGTAGGGTCTCACTACACAGCCCAGACTTGTAGTGATCCTCTTGATTTCTGCCTCCCCAGTGTTGGGATTATAGGCACTCACCGCCACAGCTGGACTTCTTCACTGGCTTAGCGTGCCTGGGGTGGGGCCAGCATGGTATGCGGAGCCAGGGAACCAACACTGGCCCCTGCGCTTACCTAAGCAAGTGCTTTGTCCACTGAGCTATACCGCTGGCCCTTAGAAGAGCTTTTTGCTTTTAGGGAAAAAAATAGGATGGTTGCAACTCATTAAGGGACTATTCAATTAACACTCAGATCCTAATAGTCTCAGCTGGAGAAATTTCTAGGCTCTTCATTCTTATCTCCTGAAATTGTCTTGAGGTCTTAAGCTAGTGCTTCTACAACCTCAATGATAAATTTAAACCATTTGCAAAGCATCATGTTTTTTAAATTTTATAAGATAAAGGCCTCTGAAATCCTTTGGTTTTCATTTTGATATAAAAGGGTTCAAAAGAGAGAAACATGTTTCTTGTTATGCTTTGTGCCCTGAGAATTTGTTTCCCTATATCTGCGCCTGCTTCTGTCTTGTCTTATGTATGCTGCCAGGGACAGAAAAAAGGAAAGTCACTACATCTCTCTGGGCAGAAGTCTGGAGACTGCAAAAAGCACTCGATCATGACACAGGGCTGCCCTGGCTTGCTTTTTGGTCCTGGTTAAATCTCTTAGGCCTTCAGCCTCACAGTCATTGCATGAACAGGACTAAACCCCACCTTTTCTTTGCCCACTACTTTGTCTTGGGGCTTATTTCATTATATAATTTTGAAATTCCATAGTAGTTAAATTAAGGATGGATTAGGTATTTTACAACCTTACGTAAAAACCAGTAAATTTTCATTGTAGCCTTAACTGATAAAAAAGGTGAATGTTGCATATTAATATATTTCCACTCACCTTTTAAAAAGAAATACTTCTACTTTCAGTGATTATAATATTGAAAGCAGACTACCCTAATGGCTCATGGGCCTGAAATGCATCTTGCTCTTTGCTTTACTTTAGGTCAGAGACAAGAATGTCCAGCGCCAAGCAATCATTGAGCTCAAAACTGTCATGGAAGATCTGGGACCAAAGCAGAGGAAGCGGAGAAGGAGCCAGACGCTGTTCGCAGCTAGAGCACATCCCAATAAGAATCACGCTGCCTACAATATTTGAAGTTTTAAATCAAAATCTATTTATTCATATTTAAAAATATTTATATGGAGAATATATTTTACTCATTCATCAACAGAGTATTTAATAGTAACTTTAATGTAATGAAAATGAATATCTATTATCTATTAATATATATATATTATTTATAATTCCTATGTCCTATTACTATTCCTCTCATCCCTTTATCCTTCTGACTAATTCAGAAGACTGTGTGATGATCCAGCTCTATCTCAGGGGCCAGCTAAGCAGCTGACTTGAGCAAACTCTGGGTTTTGTGGATTTACTTCATTGGTGATATAAGAAACACTTACAGATAAAATGACACCATGTAATTGCTGCCTGTCTGAGAGCATGTCTGCATTTTGAGCCAGTGCTTTAACGGCATGTGAGACAGCACTTGAATGTCAGGTGACATGACCTGTCCCCTGGTAAAAACACAGCATTTCAGGAGACATTGCACCTGGTGCCTCTAATCATTGTTGACAACTGTGATTGAATCCAAATGGAAATTAACTCACTTGTTTAGCTTTCAATTGCTCATATCTATGAATAAAGTCTAATTTTACAAACAGTTGCGCTATGTCAGACTTTTCCTTAGTGAGGGCCTGGGCGAATGAGCTACATACTTAAGAATTAGAAGGAAGACATAACATTTAGCAGTGGAAATCTTAGCATCGCACGAGGGTTCTTTCTTTTTGTTCATTTATTTATTTTCATTCACTTTATTGAAAATCAATAATTACATATCGTATTAAAAATTGTAGACAAATATTGAAATGTGAAAGTTATAAGATGTAGACAGAATAAATTTTATTTATTTTATTTTTTTTGCGGAACCGGGGATTGAACTCAGGCACTTGTGCTTGCCTGGGAAGCACTTATTCCACTGAGCCATCTCCCCGGCCTGACAGAATGAATTTTGGAGAAATATTTCTGAAATGAATACATAGCACAAGATTAATAATAGATTAAATTATTATACTCATATAGCAATAAATTGTCCAAGATAAAAATGAAGAACAAAGAATTTACAGATCAGTCATAACAGTGCACTCTGTGTCAAAATCAAGAAACTTATATGCATATAATTTGAATTCTCAAAGAGAAAGGGGTAAGCAATAAATATTTAAAGGTTTAAAATTTCTGAATTTAGTTGAACTTATAACACCACATTTTCAAGAAAAATGAATCTTTTGCACAAGAAATTTGAATAAAATCATACCAAGATACACAAAAATGAAATTGTTCAAAATTTATTGTAAAGAAAAAAATCATTAAAGCATATGCACACAAAAAATATTAACTATGGAAGAACAAAATTAAATAGCATCTTACTCCACATTAGAAAGAAAAAAAGACCAAGTGTGTAAGAAATTAGACTAATTAAAGGACTGAAAGAAAAAAATCTGTCCTCTTTGAATTTTATACTTAGCAAACATAACTTTGAAAACTAAAAGTAGAATATTTACCTGTTATACAAACTCAAAATATTCTAATACCTCCAGATGTAGCATATAGGAAATAACAAAAGCATAATTCAGAAGGCAAGAAAAGTTGCTGTATGGTCCTGGATAAAGAATAAAGAGCTCTCAAAATGATAGTTATGCAGGACTACGTAAAATATATTAGATAAACCCATTTAAAAGATCATGGGATGGGGAGATACTTCAGTGGTATAAGTGCCTGTCTGGCAAACACAGAGCCCTGAGTTTGATCCCTGGTCCTGCACAAAAAATATTAAATAAAAAA